AAGCGGTAGTTGCAGGTTCATGACTTCACTAACCCTGGATATTTGGCTTGGTTTATAGTATCAGCCATAATTTCTGTCTTGTTGAGCAATCAAGTCTATTGAGAGAGCTGTTGGTACTACCAAGGTATGCATGCATGCCATTATTATTGCACCCTTAGGGTTTTGGTGCCATACTGATGGTTGCTGTGATTATATAATGGCTTAGTAGTTGGGTAGGACTGTTGGTTGCCTCCCTCTTTTGGAAGCTTGCATGGTGCCTTCTGGTGTCTGAGGCTTGATGAGAGCCCCTGGAGACAGGATCAGCCCATACAGCCTGAGGTAGAGAAAGAAAGCTAGTGGCCAGCTGCTTTCTTTTCTGATACTAGCTTTAAGTTTGAACTCCAATATCTGTCTCTGGGTCATTTATTTGTGTTACACTGGGTCATATGACAGATTTTTAGCTTTTTGAAAATTCTTCACATTGATTTTCAGAGTGACTGGAACAGTTTGAAATCCACTAATAATGAGTGAAGACCCCCTTTTTCTTATGCCCCCTCTGACATTGATGGTTTTGTTGACCTTTGCCTTTCTGATGGGGATAAGATGAAATCTCATTGATTTGCATTTCTCTAATTGCTAGGAATGATCTTTTCAAGATATTTATTGACCTTGTTTTTGTTGTGTTTTGTTTTCCTTTTTTCTTTTGAGAATTCTGTTCAGGTTCCAGGATCACTTTTTTAATGGATCACTACTGTTTTGGTTTTGGTTTGGGTGGTTTTTTTGCTTTCTTTATATATTCTGGATACTAATCTCTGTCAGATGCATAGCTGGAAAACACCCACTACTACTGTGGGCTTCCTCTTCATCAGACTGTTGAAGTCCCATGCATAAATTGGCCTTAATTCTTGGGTAAACAAAGTCCTAGTCAGAAAATCTGTTCCTACACCTGCATCATGTAGGGTGCTGCCTACGTTTTCTTCAAGCAGTTTCAGTATTTTGGGTTTCACATTTAGGTATTTGATCCAGAAGCTTTTTGATAGAATTTCTGGGATTTCTTGAACCTGACCAGAACTTCTTCCTGGCTTCATGCTAAAGGGGGGCCATCAAGGATGAAAAGGAAAGAGTGACAAACTGGGGTCAGGAGGGCTGCGAGGGCTGTGACCCAAGTCTGCAAATCTATTAGTATCACAGCTCCTTAATGTACCCCTCAAATGAGGAAGCAGAAAAGTTCATCAGACAGCAGAGTTACATCTCAGAGCAATGTTGATCCGAATGGATCAAATACCTCAAAGTGTTAATTCTTCTTTTGCAAGGTACACACTAGTGCCTGGACCATCTGAACACAGCTTTACAAGGAAAATGTCAAGCGCTAGGCTATGGCCTTGAGCCCCCTCCCTTCAGCCCTGGTGCCAGTCCATGGCTGGCCATGCCAAGCATAACACTAGCAAGGGGACAAAAGCCCAGTGCTCCTTGTTCCACTCACAAGATCCCAAAGGGCATTTGACCCTACTTATCCCACAACTATTTCTAATGTATGATATGTCATTTGCAAACAGGGACAGTTTGGCTTCTTTTTCTATTTGTATCTCTTAAATTTCCTTCTCTTACTTTTTGCTCCAACTGGTGGTGTGAACACAATATTGAAAAGAGGTAACACAGTGGGCAGCCTTGTCTCATTCCTGACCCAGTGGCATTGTTTTAAGTTTTTCTCCTTTTAGAGTGAAGTTAGTTGGCTGTGGGTTTCTCATATGTAACCTTTATAATGTTGAGCTATGTTTTCTCTAATACTACATTCTCTAGAGAGTTTTATCGTGAAGGCATATTGGATTTTGTCAAAGGCTTTTTCCTTCATCTATTAAGATAATCATGTGATTTTTAAAGTTCATTTATATGATTTATTATATTTGTTGACATTCATGTATTGAAACATCCCTACATTTCAGGGGTAAAGCTACTTTGAGTATCACAGATGGATAATCCTTTTGATCCTGTTCACAGGTATTTTATTGAGAATTTTTAAATCTGTGTTCATCTTAGACATTGACCTGAAGTTTTCTTTTTGTTGTATCTTTGCCTCATTTGGACATTAGTATGGTAGTGGCTTTAGAGGAGTTTGAGAGTGCTCCTTTTTTTAATTCTTAAGGAGGATTGGCTGCAGATCTTAGAAAGTCTGGTAGGACTCTGATGCAAACCCATCTGTCTCTTGAATTTTTTTAGTTGGAAAGCTTTGTATTTCTAGTTCAATCTCATTTATTAGGGATATTTGAGTTGTTCACTTCTTTTAGGTTTAATTTTGGTGGTTTGAATGAATATAGAAATTCATCCATTATTTTAGTTTTTTCAACCTAATGGAGAATAGGATTTTGAGTACTCCTTTAAAATACTCTGAATTTACTTGGGTGTCTGTTGTAATGTTTTCCTGTTTATTACTGATTCTGTTGATTTGTGTCCCCTCTTTTGGGGAGGGCTCTACAATCTTACCTGCTTTAAGAACCAGCTCTTAGATTAATTTATTCATAGTGTTGTTTCTATTTCATTAATCTCTGCTCTGATTTTTATTATTTCTTGATGTCCAGTGTGTTTGGATGGGAAATTTTTTACTTGAATCATTAAGTCATTTATTTGCACTATTTTTATTTTTAATGTAGCATGTAGAGCTATAATTTTCCTCAATGACTGCTTTCAGTGTGTCCCATATATTTTGTTGTGTTGTCATTTTCATTTAATTATAGGAATTTTTTTCTTTCTTGAGCCATTTATCATTCACCAATGGTTATTTAATTTAGTTCACTGGAAATTTGTTTGCTGTCAATTTTGAGTTTTATTGCATTGTATTAAGACAGGATACATAGTTTTTTCAGTCTTTGCCAAGATTTGTCTTGTGTCCCTGGATGTGATCTATTTTAAAGAAGTTTCTATGTGCTGTTGAGTAGAATGTGTATTCTTCAGTGTTTGGTGGAAGAGTCTGTAGATGCCTATTAAGCCCACTAGATGTATTATGTCTGTTAATTTTTATGTTTTTTATTTTGGGTCCAGATGACCTGCCTTTTGGAGAAAGCAAAATGGTGAAATCACTTATTATTAATTGGCTAATGTTAATCTGTGGCTTTTAATTCAGTAGTGCTGAAATGGGGTACACCAGTGTTTGGGGACATATATTTTTATTACAATAATGCCTTCCTGGTTAACTGTTCCCTTGTTAGAATGAAGTTTCCCTCTTTATCTCTTCTGATTACTTTGAGGTCTATTTTGTCAAATAGGATAGAGATGCCTGTTTTCTTCCTGGTCTCAGTTGATTGGAGTAATTATGTCTACCCTACCCTTTTACTTTAAGATACTGCCTATCTTTTTTTTTTCTTTTTTGTTTTTGTTTTTGTTTTGTTTTTTTCTTTTACGAGACAGGGTTTCTCTGTATTGTTTTGGAGGCTGTTGGTCCAGCCCAGCCTCGAACTCACAGAGATCGAGAGAGCCTGCCTCTCTGCTCCTGAGTGCTGGGATTAAAGGCGTGCGCCACCACTGCCCGGCGATACTGCCTATCTTTAAAGCAAAGATGTGTTTCTTATAGACAACTGATAGATAGACTTTATTTCTTTATCAATTCTGTCAGTCTGTGTCTTTTGACCAAAGACTTGAGACCATTAATATTCAACATTAATTATTGAAATGTGTATGTTGACTGGCCATTGTGCTATTGGTTTTTGGTGTTGTGTTTTCAGTGGTTCTTTGTCTTTTAGTAATTATGGCTTCTTATTTCCAAAGTTTCTTGACTATAGTCATTCCTCTCTTCGGTTTAAAGAATTGGTTCCTACATTTTAAGTTTGATTTGTTGGATTTTTGTAGGATGTTAATATTGTGGAACGTTTTTCTTTCTCTTTCAACTATGGTAGCTAGTTTTGCTAGGTATATTAGTTTATGTTGGCCATTATGATCTTTTAGGACTTGGAATGCATTGCTCCATGTTTTTCTGACTTTCAAAGTTTCCACTGAGAAATCAGCTGTCATTTTGAGTTTTCCTTTGTATGCAGCAAATTCTTTTTCTTGTAGCTTTCAAAACACTTTTTTCCAGCATACTTAGTGCAATCATGGTTTTATTTTCTCATCTTCTCTATTTGGTGCTTTGTATCCATCTTGTATCTATATAAGCATTATTTTCCTTTATTTGGGGAAGTTTTATTCTACCATCAGGTTGAAGATCCAGCCGATGCCATTGACTTGGGATTTTTCTCCCTCATCTATGAGGTTTTGACTTTCTATGGCATCCTACATTTTCTTACTTTCCTGTTACTTTTATTTTCCTTTCCTCTGTGTGTTTAATTTTTTATATTCCTGATTATTTATCCTATAAATTCTACCTATCTTGTGTTTGATTCATTCTATTTGAAAAGCTTTTCTTTGCATTTTCCAATTTGGTTATTGGGTTTTTAAATTCCATGTTTTATTTCATCTTGAGTCCTCTTCAATGTTTGTATGGCTTTACTGAATTCCATTTTCAAGTTCTGGATTCTTTTTGTCATTTCTCTCAGCCTTACACTCGCTTCCTTGGGCATAACTCAAGCATTTATTCTCCTGTCCTTATCCTTAAATCCATTGAGCAGTTTGTGTCTTCTTTAAAGTCCTTGAATTTTTCAATATTTATGACTGTTATTTTAAATTCCCTATTCTGGTTTCATTTAGGTAATTCTCATTGGCAAATATTTCCATGGGACTGGTAGGTTTCAGAGGGGAGACACTTGGTCTTTCATACTGATTGTATGTTTCTGGTGTCTGGGCATGTGGACTTCTTCTGTTAGTTCTGGGTCCAATATGGGAGAGTAAGTTGGGGCAGATGAATGGATGTGCAAGCAGGTTTGGCCCAGAGGTTGCAATTAGTGTAGGTGAAATAAAGTCGGGTGGGCATAGGGGACTGGGGTGGTGTGCAGGCCGTGAGTTCTAGGGCATGGGGTATATCTGGCTGAGTGGGAGAGTTTTCATGTGTGGTGAGACTGGCTTGGAGGTCATGAAAAGCAGAGCCAATGTTGGAGGAATCTTAAAGGTTTGTTGTGGTGCAGACAATGATAGCCATACTAGGCCTGGGCACTGGTTGTAGCCTATAGGCAGCTCTGACAGGGTGAAGAGGGAGAAGGTCTGGCAGAACTTAGGAGGTTAGACTCTGGAGAAGGATGTCCAAGCTGCATTTTCATTCTCCATTATAGATACCTTTTCCTTAACTTGTCTGTCCCTCCATCACCACTCCCCAAATCAAGTCTAGAAAACTCATCCTGATGAGATTCTCCTGCTTCTCAGAGTCTAGCTTTCCCTTGAGTCAGACATCACACCCTGAAAGGTAGGAAATGGAATTCCATCTTCCTTTTCAGACTGTTCCTGCCATGGAGAGTGCCAGGCCCTTCAAAGGGCTTTCAACCCAGCATCCAAGTGCAGGGCAGCAGCAAATGAGGGGAGATCCTGACCCATCTCCAAAAGCCCCAAACACCAGGATCCAGGTAGGAGCTTGAGCCTGTGAGACAGAGCACAAGTGTTACAGAGACGGCTCCAGTTCCCCCTCTCTCCACCCAGCAGCAGATTGGGTCTTGTGCTCCTGAAACAGAAGAGCTCAGATGGGACATCCTAGAAGACCACGCACCCAGAAGCTAATGAGAGCGAGCAGGGAAACTAGAGTACACCATGTACAAAACAAGCGGGCCTGGCAGGATGGGCTCCCAGGTCTCCTGTCCCTGCCATCCCTGCCCTGTGCCTCCCTCAGCACGGGCATACCCAGGAATGAGCGTGACGCTCCTGAAAGCCTGTTTTACCATGCAGTCAGTCTAGGAAGACAGATAAGAAGATGCAAGAGTGTGCATGAGGGTGTAAGCATCCCCAAAGCTGAACAGAATACTAGAGCAAGGGTGGCATCATGCTTCACGTACTCCCCTGGTCAGGATGTCCATGAAGAGGGATGAGCTGCTGCAGATCATCAACCAAAGGCATCTAGTCTTCACAGGCCCGGCTTCATGCACCACCACCATCTTTGCATTCTGATCTTGGGAGAGAGAGAGAGAGAGCCACCACCCCCTTGTTTATGTCTTGACCAACAGCCAGCCATTGTAGCCATCTCTTGATCCTATTTCAGGGTCATGAGCAGGCACAGATACTATTTTTATGTCCTATGTTAGTTCCTGTTTGTCAGTTCATCAAGAAGCTAGCCTCCTGACTTGTACAAGGACCATGAACTACAATGCCAACAGGAAAGAATTGTGGAATCTAGTGCATTGTTAGTGCCATTTAGACATCACCTGGGCTCTATAAGCATGGAGGGTCTGTGCATAGAATGAAGCATTAACAAGCCTATGCCATCACTCTGCAGTAGTGCCAATTGGCCCATCATAGAGCCCATCATCATAGGGTTCAGTGAACTTTGTGTTTGTGAACAGGCCTGAAGAAGGAACCATGAACAAGTAGGAGCAAATGTCCTCAGAACAGAGTTGAGGGTCAAGTGCAAACAGAAGGCATCACAGAAGTTTTCAGGGCTACATTGGTATCCCTGCAGAGGAATAGGAAGACCAGACATGAAGCCACAAGGGACACAAGTGATACTTTGCATTTGTTTTCATTAAATGCTTATCATAACTGCATTTTGCTCCTATTTCCAGTAACTGGACACAGCTCACCAGCAGTTTTTTTTTTTTGTTTCAGGAGACAGGGTTTCTCTGTATTGTTTTGGAGGCTGTCAGTCCAGCCCGGCCTCGAACTCACAGAGATCCTCCTGCCTCTGCCTCCTGAGTGCTGGGATTAAAGGCGTGTGCCACCACTGCCTGGCCTTACCAGCAGTTTTTGAATGTGAAGTCTAGTAGAAGTGGCTTCCCATGCTCAAACTGCTTTCTATAAGCCTTGTGTATTATGAGCCCTAGTGAATGGTGGCTGTCAGCCACAAAGGAAGTCTGGCACCTTCTGGGACGGAATCCTGGGTTGGTACTCATTTTAAAGTATCTCTTACACATTTTTATTACAGGGTCTCACTGTTTAGTCCTTGCTGTCTGGCCTGAAACTGGTTTTGATAGAGCAGGCTGACCTTAACTAGACATCTGCCTAATTTTGTTCCAGAGTGCTGAGATTAAAAACTTGTACCAACACATCAGACTCCCTTCCACTAATTTAAACTTCAAAATTATACTGTAAACTAAGGATGCCTTTGGGCATTCTGTCCATTACTTCAATGTCTTCAGCATGAGCTCCACGACTGCAAACTGAGTGTTATCAAAATGGACCTACCCATCTCTGAATACGTTGAAGCTCCCTGAATCAAACCTCCTTAATCTCTGTGTTTAAAGCAGACGTTGCCTTCCTGATGATGCCCATGCTCTCCTTACCTTCTGCAAGCATCAGATAGCCACTGGTGTTTGATTACAGTGTCTTCTAACCTTCTAGGAGTGAACAATGGTGTTCTGTACATTTGATCAGCAACTGATTTCATATGCATGGCTTAACCTTGTTTTGGCTCCTTTGTGGCAGAGAAAGCCCTTCAGGATGAATGAGGGAGAGACCATTCATCTGAATGAGGAAAGAGCAAGAGTGTTCTAGACAAATGGGTAACAGGCATCAAGTTCCACATTCCTCAGGTCTAAGGCCTTCAGCCTCTACAGAGAATACCACCTTCATTTTGGTCAGAGTTGAGAGGCTCTTGAGGTGGCACAGTGCCTGTCTCCTTTCCCTTTGACCTGTCCAGGGTAGACTGCAACAGGGCCCACCAACATGCCTGGTCCCAGGCCCTCTGCCCTCTAGTACCCTCCCAGAGAGGAGCTCACACACCAAACACATGGAGATACAGAACCAAGGAAAGAAAAGATGGCTCCTGGGGGTTTGGGGCTTGATCTCTGAGCTCCAAGATCCATCTTAGGAGCCAAAGTACATGGTGTTTTGGACCAAAGGTCTGTCTATAAAGTTACAAGTTTCCCTGACAAGATGGTTTGTGTCCTAGAGCAACTACTTAAGCATCTCTTAAAAGGTTCTCTTGAGTGTCTTCTTGTGAGGTATACATCTATGGGATGTGTGTCAAGAGCATATTATACAGTATCTCCTAGTGACTCTGCTGACTTCTCCTCTGGGAAGATGTGGAAAAATTGAAGCAGGTGTGTTAGTCAGGGCTCTCTAGAGGAACAGAACTGATAGAATGGAATTATATAAATATTGTTATATACATAGATGTGGAAATTTATTAGACTTACGGATTGTGGTCCAGCTAGTCTAACAGTGGCTGTCTTCTTAATCTGGTAATTGTTCTGTACATGAGGCTAGATATCTCAGTTGGTCATCAGTCTAAGTGGGAATCCCAAAGAAGTAGGTTCTAATGCCAGTACAGGGTTACCTCCACAGCAGGACAGATGAACTTGACAGAGTGAGGGCAAGCAGGCAAAAGGTGAAAGCTTCCTTCTCCCATGTCCTTTTATGTGGGCAGCCACCAGAGGGTGTGGTCCAGATTTAGGATGGGTCTTCTTCAAATGATCCAGATTTAGGGTGGGACTTCAGACTTCAGATGATCCAGATTTAGAGCGGGTCTTTCCACCTCAAATAATCTGATCAAGAAAATCCTTCATAGGTGTGCCTAGCTCCTTGGGTTTTAGTTTCCCATATCTAATCAAGTTGACCAACATAGGCAAACTGGGATAAAGAAATTAGCTTTGTCAGCCTGCTATCCACGTCTCTTCTCCTTCCTGGGTAGGGGGACCAAAGAAACTTGCAATGTCTCTTGAGCAGCGTGGATGTGTCCATGCCACAGAAAAGTCACCCAGCCTCTTGATGAGCACCTCTGTGCATTTTGAAGACTCAATCTTCTCTGTACAACAATATCCCATGATTCCCTTGTTGGTTTCTCCCTACCAGGAATTCCTCACATGGCAACAGTAAATGAAAATCCCATCCCTAGCTGCTGATTTTACAGACCAAGGGACTGGAATCCCTGGTCACTTGCTGGCCCAAACCTGCTTTGGCCCCACAAGCAAGCTGCTTGGTGTCTCTGGTCCTGCTTCCCAGGTGTGGCTGTATGGAGTTCACCTGGTGGTCATGGTTCTGGACTATGATGTGGTACAGTGGTTGGCTGGTGACAGCCTAAACATCTTGCCACACCAGTGTGCCAGACTGAGAGGGAGGAGTCCAAGGCAGATGGCAGGTCAGCACAATGGGGGGTCAGGCAGGAGGAGGGGGAGGATGAGAAGGCTCTGTGGGAGGACAGAGATCCCTTTTCCCAGCCTGGCACACCCTGCTGCTATAGCTTCCAAGGGAGCATCCTCCTTGTGTGTTGGCCCATGCTGTGACTCCCCAGAGCCTGACCCTCTTCTGGCTAGCCATGCCCTATACCCTTTTAACTCTGCTCTCCAGGGGGAGTTTGCTCCTCCCCTTGTTTGACCATGGCGCCTGCCTCATCCCAAGAAGCTCACTGTTTCTCCTCAATTCTGTGACTGGGATTTCCGCTGGACAGACTGTCCTCCTCCTTCACTGTGCTCCATGCCCTTTCTTCCTCTCCTCTTCCTTCCTTTCCACTCGCTCCTCCCCATGTCCCACTTCCCCTCTCCTCCTCTACCTGCCCTTCCTACTTCTCCTGTGCTCAGGCAGTTTCTTATTTCTGTCCAAATGCTCAATGATGGTGTTAGCGTGGGGGGTGGGGACAAGCTGGTGAAGACCCTGGAGCCTGTGGGGCACTCAGTTCTCTCACTGTGGGTGTTCCATCCTAAGTGTACTGGAGAAGCTAGGGGTGTAGCTTCCTAACATGGAAGCTATGTGGATCACATCCCTCCCTCTCTAGCCATTAGTGCTGAGGGCACAGTGACCCAGCAGCAACAGGAGGGGAGGGGAAGCTAGTACCCTGATTCCCACTGGTGTCCTATTGGAGCTAGGTGTTTGGGTACACAAACTCTTGGAGTTCTGGCCTGGCTCCCTCCTATGGTTCTTAGTCCACACAAGGCTGAATGTAGCCCTGTGGTTCAATGACAGTGGAGCTGGGCCCATACTTCACCCCTTGAGGGGAAACACATGAAGACTCTTAGGGACTTCGACAGATGGAACTTAGCACTGAGCTACCTTGCTGCACCCCAGCTCTCCACCTGATATCCCTGTGAACCTTTGCTCTCCTTTACCTCCCCCCTCCCCTGCCTCCCCATCCTCTAGTTACATCCTCTGCTATCTACTTCTGGTTCAGCATTTCCTGAATTCCCATGAGGGGGATGTGGAGGAAAGCTTTTAAGGTGAAAGATATCTTAAGGTTCATGGCCTATAAATGGGTGTGGCCAGTCAGTGGCAGAGTCTTTAAAAGTAACGATGAAGCAAGTGCTGGTGGTCATGCCTATGCTGTGTCTCCCTTGGGACCATGTTTTTCTTTCCTTGCGGTCCCTTACTTGGGGACTGTGATGCTTTTCTTTCGGGCAGGAAGGCAACAACATAAACTGTGAACGTGAATAATCTGCCTCCTTTTACACCCTTTCAGCATCTTCATCTGGTGGGCTGGAGGCTGTGGGTGCCACTTGGGTCTGATCCTTGCTGATGACAGACCCTGGTGATGGTTCCTTGGTTCACAAGCCCTCATCTGCTACTTTTACTTGCCTTTTTCCAATTCTGGGGAGGGTCTATGGAGGATATATCATCAGGTGATGTTTGACTGGACCTCAGGTCAATTTCAATCTCCTCCAAAGTGCTATTGATGCTTTGGCACCCACAGTATCACTCCGTGGGACAGGGTTACAAGGGCATGTCATATCTTCCAGGTAGCACAGCATGTCAATGAATGAATTATTCAATGTTATGTCATTGTCAATCTCCTGGAAACTGATGCTTTGCTCTAGGCCTCCACAGCATTGTCATTCTGTGGGGCTGAATTAGAATCATAATCTGTGTCCTCAAGGTAGCACAGGATATCCAGGGGTGAAATACTGACTGTCATGTAACTCTCAGTCTACTGGAAGTGGGTGTTATGCTGTCAGCCCGCACAGTGTCACTCTGTGGAGCTTAATTGCAAGAACAGTTGATATCTAGGAGCCACTGTAGATCGTGTAA